TACCCTTTACGCCCACAGCAGAAACATCAACGCTCCAAACTTTTAGACCTTGCGTCAGAACGACGATTCTTTTGGTTGGGCCAGTTATGCTGTACATGACAAACAGTGGCTTGATCTTGAGACACGGTATTCACGGAGTCATGTCGTACATTTTCAATGCCATGTGCTTCACGTTCGGAAATTTCAAGGGTTCTGGCTAACGTTATTATTTTGTCTTCCTGAAGGGCGCGTCGGCGAATTCTGTTACTCTTCCCACCTTGAATAATTTGATGTTTGATTTCAGCTTCCTTTGCTGTCACGTCTTCAATCCCACAGTTATTGACAAGTTTGCGTAGACATGTAACAAACTGATTAATTGTTTCGTGGGCATATTGAAATATTTGCCGAAATTGAAAAATCTCATACTCAGTATTTTTCTTAGGGTGGAAATAGTATTTTAAGGCTTTCACAATCATATTCTGGTTCTGTTGGCATAGTCAGTGTTTCCGAGACTTCAAACAAGTCTTCTCCTCCCCTGTCTCGTAGCATAGCCCTTTTTTGTACTGGGTCTTCAATTTTCCACGCGACACAGCTATTTTCAAATCGAAAGATCCATCTTTTCCATTGTGATGCAAGGGTGCTTGGGTCACCGTGTACATCAAAGGGAGATATTTGAGCGAGCATGAAACTGCCTTGCATTGCCATAATAAAATTCAGATGGTCTATTAAGTGTCAAATTAAGGAGACAAGTATGACTTTTTATGCACGGCCTTTCTATTGCAAAATATCTCACCGTGTGGTCTTTTCTGATTCATAGCATGACTATTACAGTAATTCTATGCACAATAGGTTCACAAATCCTCGTCGCCAATGTAATACTTCATGGTTGCAGACCATAGAAAGAGACAAGCACGCAGCAGTCACCAATACAGACTAACTTTATTGTCAATGTACAGCCTTTATATAAAGAGAGTTACATAACTAACCAGATGGTCAAATACAGGGCAGTTGTAATTATGTATACCGTTAAAGTCCTAATATAAACCGCATACGTAATAGTAACCGCACCCCCAATTCCGGCTTCGGGGTTAAAGAGTTCTTAACAAAAATTGAAAACTTGAAAAGTACCTATTACTAACCGCACCCCCAATTCAACAAGACCGTGACTGACTTCATTGTTTCAACCAGCTGTTCCAAAACGGCATTGTTTCTAATCCTATTCATTTGTTTCGACAACATGCCTAAAAATATTCACACCTATTTATTGTTCAGCGGTGATAAGATGTCAGACAGGCAATGAAACTGCTTTTGTTCTGGCGGCGACCTCTGTCAATACTCTTTCTGAATACGTCTGTGTTTCGTAAGTTTTAGACAATGAGCTTTTATCACCGTAAAAGTGTTAAACTGAGCATTGAAGAATAATTTATCTTTCGAAAACAAATAATTTCTTGATTTAAAAAAAAAATCATGCCGTTTTCCCATGGAAATCAAAGGCAAAAGATCGCACTACATTATCGGTAAATCTCTTCCGTGTTGCGTTCACCATGAGGTCGC